TGTGTTTTTTCTTAAAAAAAGATGTTGAAAATTTTAATTAATTTTACTACTTGAATTAAATTTACTTGTAAATTTTAGAAAAAAATTTAGAACTGTCTCTTCAACGCAAACGTTCCCAGGGTGTAATCACAGATAAAAGACAATAATTTGTTTCTCTGTTATCTGTGGTGTAATTTCTTAATCTCTGATATCACAATGGTTACGGCACTAAAAGAAATGCAAATGCCAAAAAGATTGGGTGGCTCTCAAATTGTTTTAAAAATATATATATTTTTTTTAATTTTCAACCTTGAATAGCTCGGTTATTTTGAACTTGTTTGAAAAACGTTAAAGAGAAAATATGCTTCTTTTATCGAGATCTACCAGTACCGAAACTATTTGCACTTATTAAAGACTCACCCTGTAAATTTTACTACATTTTCCTCTTTTTTTACGGACTTGTTAATAGTTAATTTTATTTATTGTTTGGTAATTAATTGCTAATTTGATTTACGGCGTTATTAAAATAAAAATATATTATTTAACAAAGTGGCGTATCGGTCTTATTTTGGAAATTTCAAGGGACCCTGTACTTAGTACACAGACATAGTACTGTTATTAAATGAATATCTCCGAAACTAAAGTTCCAAAAAAAATTCGTACTATATCTAGAAATTCATTTACCCACTAGTAAGTTATAAAAAACATTTTTGGTAAACTCTGTCTCTAATAGTTTCTGAAAAATAAAATTAATTTTTTTAAAAAGGTCCGATTAAATTTATATCTCCGAAACTAAAGTTCCAAAAAAATTCGTAATATATCTAGAAATTCATTTACCCACTAGTAGTTATAAAAAGCATTTTTGGTTTCTCTAATAGTTTCTGAAAAATAAAATTATTTTTTTTAAAAAGGACCGATTAAATTTATATCTCCGAAACTAAGTTCCAAAAAAATTCGTAATATATCTACAAATTCATTTACCCGCTAGTAGTTATAAAAAGCATTTTTGGTAAACTCTGTCTCTAATAGTTTCTGAAAAATAAAATTATTTTTTTTAAAAATGTCCGATTAATTGAATATCTCCGAAACTAAAGTTCCTGTACTTAGTACACAGACCCTGTACTTAGTATACAGACTTAGTACCTGATCGCAACACACACTTTGGGAAAAACTGCTCTACTAAATTTCTAAGAAAAAAAAATTATAGAGTGATGAACTGTATTAATTTTATTAATTGCTATAAGTATTGCATAAAAATTCAATGACAAATTTTCTGCTCTATCTGTCTTTAAGCAAAGCGAAAAAATTGACAAACTATTTACAAATTTTTGAGAGTAAGATTTGTCCTGCCATCATGTTATCTAGTCAAACCGGTGAAAAAGTTTTGGAGTAGTTCGAACTTCTATAATTTTATTATATTTTTTCGGGTGCTAAATCCGAATCCGATATTTGCCAGCAAAACTTCGTGACGGACCATTAAAAAAATGCAAAAAATTTCAACAACTTAAAAACAACAAATCAGCAGCAATCATTGCGACGCAATTCTGGCGGAAATCTATAAGTGTACGAGTCAAGAGCTTATTGGTTATCTTAAATTATTAAATCACCTAATCTTCGATGTCATATGGGAAATCGGAGAGGTACCTCAGGACTTTCGTAACGCTAATATAGTGAATATATTTCAGAACAAAGGAAGAGTGCATACGATTGCGGAAACTACAGAGGAATTTCGCTACTGGCTACGGAGGAAAAGTTCTTGCAAAAATTATAGCAAAACGCCTGCACCCACATATAGAAAAAATCCTCCCAGAATCGCAAACGGGCTTTCACTCCAACCACGGTACCGTTGATTCCATATTCTCCGCCCGCCAACTACAGGAAAATGTACAGAAGAGTAAACTTTATGTTGCCATTCATCAACCTAACAAAAGACTCTGTAAACAAAGATGTGCTTTGGGCAATTATGCAAAAGTTCGGAGTACCTAACAAATTTCTCACAGTTGTGTAAAAGTCTCAATAACAACATCTCCCCTTCCTAACAAATACTAGAGCAAACTATAGGAAAGAGGAATGGACATTGCATACATCTGTATGTAATGTCCATTCCTCTTTCTGCGTGACTGCGCGGCGGTCTGTTTAATATAAAAAGACTCAGGGCAAAAACATGTATAAGATTAAACACAGAACTTCAATACGCTAATGACTGCGCTATAATTGCAAAACGGTACAGCAATTACAGGAAATGCTGACATATACCTCAGCATACGAGGCTTTGGGCATATAAAGCTGAACATCTATAAAACTAAAATCATGTGTACTCCCTCGGAAAACCACAACTATGTTATAAAAACCGGATAAGAACTATTGGAATATGTAACGGAATTCAATTACCTCGGCAGTCTAATTTGGGAAAGGCCTATATCGACTCAATTGAAATTCAGCACAGAATTAGCAGCGCCTCAAAAGCATTCTGTAAATTGACAAACTGGGTTTTCTATAATCATGACTTGAGCACAAAAACGAAACTTGCAGTGTACCGAGCAATAATAATCCCCCACTACGAGTATATAATATGGAAGCGAAGCCGTACGCGCCGCGGTGCCAGCGCATTAACGTATTAAACAAATTACAACAGAGACACATCTAGACAACTGTTAAAAATCAAAGGCTTCACCATGTGTCAAACGCATCGGTCCTTAAAAATGCTAGCTACAACAGCGCTGAAGTCATGATTACGAAATCCCGCTTAAGATGGGCTGGTTACGTATGCAGGATCATGAAAACATCCTACCAAAAGCCCTTCTTTACGATGAGGATGTAAACTCAAAACGTACAAGGATATTTTCCACAGTGGGAGGAAGCAGCGCACAATAAAACGCAATGGACCAGAATTGTAAACTCATTTAACAACGCCAACCCAACGGTAAAGAGTCAACAAAGTAAAGAGATTTTTGCATGTCTATAGTGCAGAACCCCCACATATTTAATAACATCACATATCGGGCTTTCCAGGCACAGAAAAGCTCATGAAAGAAAATGCCCTTATGATGCGTGTCAAATACTCGTCAGCGAGTAATGGCAGTAGTAGTAGTTATATAAAATTATTAAACTTGAAAGACTAAGTTAACAAACGATACATTAATTTTCATATAATCACATTGTCATGCATTATTGACCTACAACCTGATTAATTATCTGAATGTTATGAAAAAAGCATTGATTTAAGCACTATATAAATAATAATTTAATATTCTTCTTGAATAATTAATAAGTATGGAACCAATATGATATTAATAATATGGATTAATAAAAATTGTTTATTTTTTGATAAACTATATAAAAGCTTGAGTGATGTCTATTATTTGTTAATTCTCAGTTAATAAGGATACGAAGTTATATATTTTGCATAATATAGTATTTCAAATCGCTTTTGTTTCTATATTATTTATTATACAGGGTGAGTCTTAAATAAGTGGAAATATTTTTAGGGGTAGTATATTTCGACCTCAGAAGTCTATGAGATTTTTTTTCGGAAAAAAGTTACTGGAAATTTGGAATATTTTGAAAAAAAATTGAAATTTCTTTAAATTTTTATTTGAAAACCATAATATCTTCATAATATGGGAACAGAAGTAGTAGATTAAATTTACCAGAAAGAAAACCCAGAAAAGATACAATGATTCTCAAAATTTAAGCGAAAATTCATTTTTTTAATTTTCAAAGCAAAATATCACGGTTATTTAGGATTTATTTAAAAAACAGTAAAGAGAAAATATGTTACTTTTATCTACCAACCCTGAAAATATTTGCACTATTTAAGGCGCATCCTGTATAACATTCTTGTTAAGAAGAAAAATATGTCTAATATACAGGGTGGTCCGAATTGTATTCCGGAAATTTCGGGAGCATATTTTGCAGATAAAAAAAAGTAAAAAACTTCTTATAAATGTATGTCTTAAAGTGCTTAGTTTCGGAGATACAGGGTGTAGAAGTTTCATTTTTATTTCGATTTTTTCCAAATAATTTCTGAAGTAATGTCAATATTTGGATGAAAATTGGTGTCTGTTAGTTTTTTGACATGAGAAATTTGATTTTGATGTTCACTATGACTCCTATTTGTAGAGGGCGCCATCTACATGTGTTTAAACTGTTTTGAAGAGTAATAACTTTTTGTCTGTACCTGTATAGAACTGCTGAGTGCAAAAATATACATTTTCGTATTTTTTTACGTAAAAAATGTCTCTTGGTAAAAATCGTTACGAGCAACGCTTCTCGAGATATTTAGAATGGGAATAGTCAATACATGTCATTATTGACAAAAAATAAACATTTTGAGAGTAGATAGTTAATTGACTAAAAAGATAAATTTGGAAAATTTTTATTTTTTTCTATTAATCATAAAATTTTCTTCGAAAATATGATGATTGATGATGGTTTGGCACAAAAACATTTCAAATTTATGATTTCCGTCTATTAACTATTTAGTCAACATATTTAATTTATGTCAGTGATGACAGGTTTTGATAATTCTGATTTCAAATATCGCGAGAACTATTACTCGTAGCGATTTTTATTAAGAGATCTTTTTTGCGTTAAAAACGTCGTAAATGTATATTTTTTTAATTAGTAGTTTTATACAGTTATACAAAGTTACTTCTCTTCAAACCAGTTAAAAATATGTAGGTGGCGCCCTCTATAAGTAGGAGCCATATTGACATCAAAATCGAATTTCTCATATCAAAAAACTCCCAGACACCAAATTTCATCCAAATATTGAAGTTACTTCAGAAATTATTTGGAAAATATCGAAATAAAAATGAAACTTCTACACCCTGTATCTCCGAAACTAAGCATTTTAGGTCATACATTTATACGATATTTTTTACTTATTTTTATCTGCAGAATATGCTGCTGAAGTTTCCGGAATACAGTTCGGACCACCCTGTAGATTAGATAGAATTATAAATAATGGCTGTACCTCTGTTATTTATATCTTATGAGTTAATTATAAATGTACTTACTGATATCCAGTTAATATATTCAACAAAGATGTTTTTCCGGCACCTGATGGTCCCATAATGGCTGTGAGTTCGCCTGACTTAAATTTTCCGGAGACTCCTCTAATAATCTTTTTATACGCTGAAACAATAATAGTTACATAAATATTTAATTCATATTAAATAATTATCACAATTTTACAATACTATTAAAAAATAATAACACAAATCACGAATTAAATAAAAATAAAGATGTATAATATAGAGGGTGGTTCAAGCTATTCGACAAAGAGTATTGTAGCTAAACGATTAAACTTATATAAATTGTGAGTGATGAATAACAAAAAAATGAAATGGGTAATATCAAAGTTGTATTTTTTTACATGAAACACCCTGTATATTATTACATTTTTAGTTTCTACGGTTAAAATAAAGATAAATTTGATTAAAGTTTACCGCATTTTAATATTACCGTTTTTGAAATATTTCCGATTTTGGGAAAATGCAGTAACAATTTTAATTCTTCATTTCTCTAGGCATATTTAAGTTTTTAAAACCAAATATTGTACTGGAGTTTTTCTATTTATTAAATTTTGTGTTGCAATAATGAAAATAGTCTAAAAATGTATTTTAAATAATTACTTTTAAATAAAACACTTTTCATAAAGCACATCAAATCTGATATTTCCTAACACCAATTAGGCCATTCTTGTATGTCCTAGTTTGTCCTAGTAAATATCACAAGTGAAAAACACATCAAAATTATATTTCAGGAATTTAGAATCATGGGGTGTATACAGTGCGAGTCTCTAAAGTGGAATAAATTAATTAGATCAAACTATTATATCAAAAATAGTAGTTAAAAAAGCCTTGAACACGTCAATCCCTAATTTAGGTTTCTCACGTTTTTTACGTAATAGCTGTTTCTATAGAGCGATTCAAAAAAGATTTTTTGTAAATGGCAACCTTAATTTTTATTGGAGGTTTGGAGAGCGATTAATGTTTTACACCTTCACCATGGTTCACTTATTTTTAAATTTTCCTTTAAAATATCTGTCTTATGTTAATAAAAAAACCTTATTGAATTTGAATGTGCCAGCAACGTTTGAAATCTTGCAGCAATATACAATCATACTAAAATTTCAATATTGTGAAATAAAACGATAAAAAGTAATGAATTACCTGATCCATAGCCATCGACCATCGAATCGAAATCCTAAAAATGATAAAATAAGGAGACAAAGAACCCAAAATAAAGTTGTTCGTTTATAGAGATAATAATAAACTAGAAACTAGAAAAACTAAAAACTGGAAACCAAGCGAACAACTGCATTAAGCGAAGATTTCTTCTGCAGTTATTGAAAATATTAGTCACTCATAGTAGAATTCAAAAAATCCTAATTAACCAGACAAATTACAATAGAAAATGAAATTAGCCAATCTTCAGCAATACGAATGCTCAATCATCAATATTTTCATTCTCATAAATGAAAGACTGAACAGGCTTTGAGCACATGATGACTTGAGAATAATATCGCGAACCTGAGGAACATACATTTTTTCTGACAAGTCAACTCTCACATTGAATTACGAGATAATCGATAGAATTGTCGTTATTGGGTAGACAAAAATCCAAACTCAATGAGGGAGAGTTGACTCAATAAGTCATACTCACACCAGAGAAATTCAACGTTTGGAAGGGCATTATGATGACTAAGTGAGGCTCACTATACCCTCTTGAAGCAGATTTTCCAAGTCAAAATCCCGTATGATTGAAAAAGAAACGACGTCAGCGATAGCTATGAAATATAAGATAGCTATATCTATATTTATATGTAAATTTATATGGGAAATGTCATCGATCGTCATTTTCCAGCTAGCTGGACGCCGTTTTTTTTTTCGATCATACGGTATCATATACCCAACAGCATAGTGCGCCATTGTATGACCTGTTCGAGAATATTTGGATGAAGTCTGTTTAGAAGAAAGAACGAAGAGTGTTTTTAGGTAGAACGGGGTGGGTGGAATGACCGTCTCAAGATATTAACACTCTCTACGACTAATAATTATAGGAATATTCGAAGAACAACGTTTTTAAGGAGAGACCGGCGAATGTTGAAGTGTTAAAAGATACGACACGAGTACTGACTTATTTCTCCTGCAGTTATTGAAAATATTAGAGAAGTGTTTAATTTTTGTACCAGTAGTTAGATGTGTAACACTTAACATTTATTTTGACAAAAAGAAATATTATTTAACAAGTTTTCTATCTTTCTACAGCAGTGTATTATTTACCATATCTTGAAAACGGTTCAAAATAATTAAGCGCAATTAACCTACACGTGGAACACATTAAACGCTCTTATTAAAAAATATCTCACGTCATATTTATTTTTTGGAATCGTCATGTAGAAATACTTCTTACGTATAAATAAGAGTAACTTGAAATAATATTTGATGTATTTTTTAACTTCTGTGTGTGTGTGATATAATAATTTGATCTAATGAATTTGGTCCACTTTATAGACTCGCATTGTATACCAACATTGCAAGATATACGTAGAATCCTTTGAAATGTTTATGCACATTAAGCAGCACTAAACGCTATCAACTCAGTAACTATCAATTCGAAGTTGGTCAAAGAATACCTAGAGAAGCTGAACAAATTAGGCAAAGAAAATAAAGTCCTCCTACTCTGGGTGCCCGCTCACCAAGGGATAGAAGGCAATGAAAAAGCAAATGATCTAGCTAGAAAAGGAGCGAACACTCCACTAACTGGCCCAAAACCGTTCTGTTTTCTACACTGAAAAAAATATTGTTCATAATATTAATGAACATTGATTATTAACTGTTGTTTTATTGGGACAATGATTTTTTTCATTAATATAATGATTTGTTAATCATAGATCGATGTCCGATTTATTAATACTATGAATCTAATTTCATCAATATAATGAAAATCTGGTTATTAAATTAATGTAAGATTTTCATTAATATAATGAACGCGTTCATTGTCCCAATGAACGCGTTCTTGATTTTAGTGCTGAAACTTTAATAAACACATATTCATTATATTAATATACTAAATCATTGTGACAATGAACAATGTTATTAATACAACGAACACACTACATTATATTAATGTACGCGGTTATTAATATCATGAATAAAATATTAGGGCTTAAATGTCCGCCATGTTGATCGGTTACTTTGGTCCTTTAATAACGTCTGTGTGGTTGAGTTATTCAGTGAGGCTTTAGTTTCATTAGAGCGGTAAGTGTCCTCTTCAATATTTTAAATATTTTAAATAAAAGTTCTATCGTATTGTAGTTAATTTGTTTTGGTTTGGTCAAATCAAATTCCGCTGTGTGAGATCTCTGGTGTGGGTATTCATTAAAACAGCGGTTTCCAAATATGTTTCAGAAGATAAAAAACAAAAACAAAAAAAACATAGTAACAAGTCGAGGCATGGAACTGATTATGGTAAATTCGAATGTTTTTTTAATATTTTGAATTTTAATTGTTTTGATATACGTCTTTTAGAACCGGAAGAAGATGTCTCGCCTTCAAGCCCTCAAATTCGACAATTTAACATCGGACCCACTTGATGCGACTTGGAAAGCCTGTTGCAAATTCGTCTAGACGTTATATATATACAGCTAATATAATGAAGAAATGGTCTTTTTATAGAAGTCCCTCGGGATATCGACTGGTAAAATTAATTTTCTTATTATAATTTACCCTAAAATTAATAATAACATTACTATTCTCTTCGTCGATTCGATTTTTTTAATTTTTAATTTGTATATGCTATATCGAGTTTAATAAATTATTATTAGTTTATTGCACTTGTTTTTTATTAATAATCCCTAATGGAAAAATTTACTGTGCTCGTAAGTAAGTCGGCACTATTAGTAATTTTGTTACCTTTGTAGCTAAGGGCTTGTTCAAATGGAAATCTATTTATAGTAGAATTATATCAGGTAGTTGGCTGGGAAATGACTATCAATGACATTTCATATCAATAACAGCGATCTTCATCATCGATTATACGGTGTAACAAGAATTACTAATACTGTCGACTTTTAAATGTATAACTAAATAGGTTATGAAATTATTTCATTGTACTAATGATACGGTTCATTAACACAATGAAATTATTTCATTGTATTAATGATAACGGTTCATTAATACAATGAAATTTATTTCAATGATACGGTTCATTAATACAATGAAATTATTTCATTGTATTAATGAAATCTGTTCATTGTACCAATGAATGTGTCCTTCAAATTAATGAACTTAAAGTTCATAGAGTTAATGAATTACTTTTCATTGTGCCAATGAAATCGTTCATCGGCTCAAAATTAATGATTTAATTCATTATATTAATGAACTTTTTCATTATATTTATGTCGACTTTTGGTTCAGTGGAAGCGGAAACCAACTAAAAGCGGAACTGAGGAACAAAGATTCCATCCGTAACCTGGAATGGGAGTCCTCAACGGTCTAAGTAACTCGAAAAACTTCCTCAAAACTTATCTTAACCGAGAAAAATAAAAGATTTTCCTTGATTTAAGTATAAACAATCTTCGGATTGTCTACGGGGTTTCTAACAGGACACTATCTCCTCAACGTACTTGTAAGAAAATTATAATAAATCTAAAGATTATTAAAACTTTAACACCCTCCCTGTAGCTACGAAACAAAGCAGAATCGGGCCTATGAAAAAGAAATCTTATTTTTAAGTGAGGAATCTCCCCACGATAGATGGCAGATGTTTTTTGAAACACCCTGCATAAGTAATATAAAAAATACATCTAAAAATATAAAATAGAAACAAATTATAGTACTTTAAAAGTTAAGTGTGGCAAAAAAACCGCTGTTTTACCACATTCTATTTATTATTTATTATCTGTTATTCTATCATTCATAGAAAAATAATTACTTTTATAGATGTGCCTGTCACCATGTAATGTACTTCAACAATTCAGACTTTATTTTTCTGAAAATATATAATACATAATTAAATAAGACAATTGAACATATTAATACCTAAAATTATAAAATAATAAATTAAACGCAATTGCTAAATATCAAGTAAATGTCACAGTATATTGGTTTAATAAAAACAACAGTAAA